TGCCTCAGCCTGCTGAGTAGCTGGGATTACAGGCATGTGCCACCACACCCAGAAAATTTATTTATTTATATTTAGTAGAGACAGGGTTTCACCATGTTGGCCAGGCTGGTCTCGAACTCCTGACCTTGTGATCCGCCCGCCTCGGCCTCCCAAAGTGCTAGGATTACAGGCATGAGCCACCGTGCCTGGCAACAGGAATCAACTTTCATTCTCTGCCATAAACTTATTTTTTTGGGTTTTTTTTTTTTTGAGACAGTCTTGCTCTGTCACCCAGGCTGGAGTGTAGTGATATGACCTCAGCTCACTGCAACCTCCACCTCCTGGGTTCCAGCGATCCTCCCACCTCAGCCTCCCAAGTAACTGGGATTACAGGCACCCACCACCATGCCCGGCTAATTTTTGTATTTTTAGTACAGACGGGATTCACCATGTTGGCCAGACTGGTCTCAAACTCCTGGCTTCAAGTGACCAACCCACCTTGGCCTCTCAAAGTGCTGGGATTACAGGTGTGGGCCACTGTGTCCAGCCCTGTATTTTTTCTTTTTTAAAATAACAAGCATATCTCTATTTTATAATTTATGTACATAATTGAAGGGCAGATGCTGTAACACCACAGTGAGGGGAATGGAGAGAAGTATGGGGAGCTTTCTATCTGTATATAAAAATACATGTAAATACAGAATAGTGGTAGGACTAATGAGGACGATTACTTTCTCTTGGGTTTGTCAAACACAGTCCTTCTAAAAATATAAAAGTCAGTCAAAAGTAAAATGCTTTTGAAAACTGAACTCAGGCCGAGCGTGGTGGCTGACACCTGTGATCCCAGCACTTTGGGAGGCTGAGGCGGGTGGATCACGAGGTCAAGAGTCCGACACCAGCCGGGCCAACAGGGTGAAATCCCATCTCTACTAAAAATACAAAAATTGCCTGTAATCCCAGCTACTCAGGAGGCTGAGAATCGCTTGAACCCAGGAGGTGGAGGTTGCAGTGAGCTGAGATCATGCCACTGCACTCCAGCCTAGAGCCAGACTCAGTATCGAACAAACAAAAAAACAAAATTGAATTCAATCTAACTGCATGCTTTAACTAGGTGAATTGCGCGGCATGTGAAATTCACGTATCAATGAGGCTATTATAAAAACTAATGAAATAAGTTAGCTGGGCGGGATGGCAGGTACTTGTAATCCCAGGTACTTGGGAGGCTGAGGCAGGAGAATCACTTGAACTCAGGAGGTGGAGGTTGCAGTGAGCCAAGATTGTGCCACTGCATTCCAGCTTGGGCAAAAAAAGCAAAATTCCATATTAAAAAAAAAAAGCCAAACCAAACCTAAATGAAATGCCCTGTAAATGAATTACATAAATTCAGTGTCAAGTTGGAAGCTGCCAGTGTAATGCACCCTTGGTTCCTCACGGGGGCACTCACGCCATTCTTACAATGCTCACCCGTGACACGGGACCGGTTCACCCAGTTAGAATGTTAAAGGAGTGGGTTGAGGTCACCTCTGTGAATTCCTCAGGAGGACAGACCTTGCAGAGGCCTTGGTCTCACTCCCAAGGGACATCTCCTCAGGAGGCAGTGTAGCATGACCCCCATGGCACTGGACAGGGTCTCCGAGAAGGCACAGGCTTAATGCCTAGGTCTGCCATTTACCAGCCATGTGATCTTGGGCAAATAACTTCACCTTTTTGTCTCAGTTTCCTCACCTGTAAAATTGGGGTAGTAATAGCACCTAAATCATAGGGCTGGGCCAAGCATGGTGGCTCTTGCTTGTAATCCCAGCACTTTGGGAGGCCAAGGCAGGAAGATCACTTGAGCTCAGGAGATCGAGACCAGTCTGGGCAACATGGCAAAACCCCATCTCTACTAAAAATACAAACATCAGCGGGCGTGATGGCATGCGCCTGTGGTACCAGACACTCAGGAGGAGAATCACTTGAGCCTGGGAGGCAGCGAGTGAGATCGCGCCACACTCTAACCTGGGCAAGCGTGAGACCGTTTCTCAGAAATCAATCATAGGGCAGGATAAAGATTGAGCGTATTACTCTGTGTTAAACGTTTAGGTCTGGCTCTGACATTCTACAAGGCACTACGTGTGTCCCTGTTATCATTACTGGTGGGGGTGGGGGTGTCGCCAGGCATTACTGTGATTATCACTGCTGTTCCTACTCGTGCTGGTGCTCAGGGCCTAAGAAGGCAGTTATTAAGGGCAACGCGACATCAAAGACTAGAGGCACAGGTCCTAGTCCCAGCTGTTCTACCAAGCCATGTGGGACCTTGGATCAGCCCTAGTGCCTCCCCAGGTTCCCTGTTTCTCCATCTATAAAAAGGGGGCTGTGGTTAAATAACTGCAGGGTTTTCCAAACTTTGGTCAGTTCTCGGCTACATCATTTGTGTAGTATGCATGGACTCATTCTCTTGTTGTTTTAATATGCTTAATCAAGTCACTTAGGCTTCATTCCTCAGCTTACTTAAGAGGAACATTTATTACAATCACAAATGGTAAAGTAGTAGTATTTTCCGTAACAGGAGTCCCCCATACAAATACACAATAGGGCAGGTGCAGTGGCTCAAGCCTGTAATCCCAGCACTTTGGGAGGCTGAGGCAGGTGGATCATCTGAGGTCAAGAGTTTGAGACCAGCCTGGCCAACTTAGTGAAACGCCATCTCTACTGAAAATACAAAAATTAGCCAAGCATGATGGCAGGCACCTGTAATCCCAGCTATTCCGGAGGCTGAGGCAGGAGAATTACTTGAACCTGGGAGGCGGAGGTTGCAGTGAGCCGAGATCACACCTCTGTACTCCAGCCTGGGCAACAGTGAGACTCCATCTCACATACAAAAAAACCAAATGCATAACAAACAACAGAAGGTTATTTTTGATAGTGGCTGTCCTGTTGAGGCTCTAAGTGCAAAGGCTGCTGTTTATCTGTTGAAGGGAGATCATCTCAATTGCTAAGGTGTTAAAGACCTGCCAGCACCAGACCAAGACTTTCTTTGTGATATTGTTCAAAGTTATGAACAAAAACTAGAGGGGGACCTTCTTCACAATGTGAATACCTTCTGAATGCCCTGATAGCATCCCACAGTCTCGTACATGGATACCCCAAATCTTGGGGAAAGTCAGTAAATTATTTTCACTCTAACATTGAGCTCTAAGTAAGTGCTACAAACAGACTGGACAAGCATAAGACGCACTTCTACCTGGTGGGGTATCCAGCTCACTCCCCTGCTCAGAGGCAGAGGTGCACAGGATAGGGCTCAGAGATCTCCTTGGGGTAAAGCTACACCAAAGACCTACAGGTCCGGCCAGGGGCCCTTGCCTACCTCCTTCTCGGTCTCTGAATACTCCTTGAGTCTCTCCACGGCCACGATGTTGGTTTCCATCTCAGATGACATCCGAACCAGCCAGTTCAAGTACGTGGTGACCTGCGAGTGGAAGAGTCACGTGGCATTTCTAGAGTGAGCAGGCATATTTTTCTTTTCTTTTTCCACTGAGATAACAGGAAACAAATTATTTTCAACAAGAATGAATTATCGGAGGCCGAGGCGGGCAGATCATCTGAGGTCAGGGGTTTGAGACCAGCCTGGCCAACATGGCGAAACCCCATCAGTTGCTACTAAAAATACAAAAATTAGCCAGCCGTGGTGACACACGCCTGTAACCCCAGCTATTTGGGGGGCTGAGGCAGGAGAGTCACTCAAACCTAGGAGGCAGACGTTGCAGTGAGCCACGATCACGCCACTGCATTCCAGCCTGGGCAACAGAGTGAGACTCTGTCTCAAAAAAAAAAAAAAAAAAAGTTATGAATTATAAAACAGTCAGGTAAGAAAGGTACAGAAATTAACAAACCCAGCTATAGCCATCACCCAGGCCTGCCACATTGCTATCTCCTAAGCACATACCACGTTTCCAAAATAACTCATGGGTCACAAAAGTAATAAGAAACTGGAAAATATTTTTAACCAGGTGACAATATGAAAACACAATGTATCACCATTCGTGAGATGCAGCTAAAGCAGTTCTTAGAGGGAAATTCATAGTTTTAAAAGCATTCCCCTCGTAGCTGAAGGTATCCTCTTGGGCCACCAAGGAATCTCTGTGACTGATGAGGGAAATACTGGCCTCATGTCAAATCCCTCTCCTGCTCTAGTTGGTCACCAGGCGCTGTACCCACTCCTGAAACTCCATGCCTCTCACGTTCCTCTCCCCCATTGCTGTTGGAGTTCGAATCCAAAGAAAAGGACAACTGGCTCCCCCATTAACAGACTTTAATAATCCAGTTACGAGCATCCCCTCTTACCTGCAATGAGTAAGACACTGAGAGGCCCACCAAGCCAGCGCTAAGGCTGTGCCTGGAGATCACCGCGAACAGGGCAGCAAACAGAACGATGCAGTTGCCCACACACTCCAACCGCACAGCCAGCCACCTGCGCCAAGACACACAGGCAGACAAACAGGCGTGGAGTCAGCTTTACAGAGACTCGGCTTACAGTTCTTGGGGGCAGAAGGGGATTCTTTGCTAACTCAAGTAACTCCGCAATAGTTCCAGAGAGCCCTTCCTGGCACTGCTTTTTCAAAACATGCACAATGGGCGCAGAGGAGGGAGGGCCGAAAGGGCACGATGCTAGTAAATCCTCATGAATCTGGCAAACCCATGGATTAAAACACAGCTCTACAGAGGCAATCTTCCCTGGAATCTGAAGCTTGCCTTTTTAAAAACCAACCTTTTTCTCATTGAAGTCTTTAAAACATATATATATAGGCCGGGCGCAGTGGCTAACGCCTGTAATCATCTCTCTCTCTCTCTCTTTCTCTCTGTGTGTGTGTATATATATGTATATATGTATATATGTATACATATATATACACACACATATACACATATATACACACACACACATAATGCATTAATAACAACAACAAAAAAGACGTCCTGGAAATTCCTAAATACTAAGAAGACATCAACTATAAGAGATACCAGTGATTTAAAAATAACCATCATTATTTTGGGGCCTTTTGGCTAAAAACAAGTAGAAAATAACAGTCTCTTGCTACGAGACACATCTGAGAGGGCGGTGGGTAACGAGCACGAGTAAACATCACTGTAACGTTCTCAAACCCAGACTCTTCTTCATTTCAAAATGTGAAAATACACTATTTTATCCTTTAAAATAGACACGGAAATCTTGTTTTCTGTCGTTTTGTTTTTTTTGAGATGGGGTCTTGCTCTGTCATCCAGGCTGGACTGTGGATGACATGATCACAGCTCATTGCAGCCTCAACCTTCCAGGTTCAAGTGATCTCCCTGCCTCAGCCTGAGTAGCTGGGACTACAGGCCCACGCCACCACACCTGGCTTTTTTTTTGTTTATTTTTTTCTTTCTTTTCAGGGACAGGGTCTCCCTATAGTGCCCAGGCTGGTCTCAAACTCTTGGTCTCAAGCAACCCTCCTACCTTGGCCACCCAAAGTGCTGGGATTACAGATGTGAACACTGCCTGGTCATCTTATTTGTTTAAAGCTAGGTTACATATGGTATCACGTAGCATCAGAACTATTTTATTTTACTTTTTATTTTATTCTTCTCTTCTCTCCTGTGCTATTCTATTATTTTTTGAGATGGAGTTTTGCTCTTGTTGCCCACGCTGGAGTGCAATGGTGCAGACTTGGCTCACCGAAACCTCTGCCTCCTGGGTTCAAGTGATTCTTCTGCCTCAGCCTCCCAAGTAGTTGGGACTACAGGCACCCACCACCATGCCCAGCTAATTTTTTTGTATTTTTAATATAGACGGAGTTTTACCATGTTGACCAGGCTCGTCTCGAACTCCTGACTTCAGGTGATCCACCTGCCTTGGCCTCCCAAAGTGCTGGGATTACAGACGTGAGCCACCGCGCCTGGCCACCTTATTTGTTTAAAGCTAGGCTTCGTATGATATCATACAGCACTGTAACTATTACTTTAATGTTCTAATATAAAGCATTCTAGGAAGATGGGGTGTTGATCTTTTCTCCATTGCAGCCCTTATGAACCATGTGATTGATCCTTACTACTCCGGCAAACACAGCCAGATTGTGACAAACTCCCTAAAAATTCTGCAAGGGAAGTCAAGGTCTCTAGTCATTCAGGGTTGGCGCACCCAGGTTTATACTTGGGATGAGAGGGTGTAAGATGGGCTAATGGCTGTGGGACACCTCTGGGTATTGTCACCTTTTCAGCAAAGTCTATCAGGATACAAATGGGTAAGAGAGATGCTATTTTAGGGGTAAGTCAGACACTTCTCTAAATTCAGCAAATAATTAGCAAACTTCTGCCTCTTTTGGATTGATGCTATTATCTGTGATCCGCAAGGTGTCAATCTCCCACCCCCATCTCCTTTGTTTGTTTTTCCAGAGACAGGATCTCATTCTGTCGTCCAGGCTGGAGTGCAGTGGTGCAATCATAGCTCAATGCATCTTTGAACTCCTGGGCTCAAACGATCCTCCAGCCTCAGCCTCTCGAGAAGCTAGGACTACAGGCACACACCACCATGACAGGCTACTTTTTTTTTTTGAGATGGGGTCTCGCTCTGTTGCCCAGGCTGGAGTGCAGTGGCCAGATCTCAGTTCACTGCAAGCTCTGCCTCCCGGGTTTACGCCATTCTCCTGCCTCAGCCTCCAGAGTAGCTGGGACTACAGGCGCCCGCCACCTCGCCCGGCTAGTTTTTTGTATTTTTTAGTAGAGACGGAGTTTCACTGGGTTAGCCAGGATGGTCTCGATCTCCTGACCTTGTGATCTGCCCTCCTCAGCCTCCCAAAGTGCTGGAATTACAGGCTTGAGCCACTGCGCCCGGCCTTTTTTTTTTTTTTTTTAAAGAGAGATGGGGGTCTTGCTATGTTGCCCAGGCTGGCCTGAATCTCTGGCCTTAAGGGATCCTCCTGCCTCAGCCTCCCAAAGTACTGAGATTATAGGCGTGAGCCATGACATCTGGCCCATAAGATGACAATCTCATATGGTTCAGTTTAGTATTAGTAAATTGCTTCTGACACACTTCACCCAGGGGTGCATGACCAACCCCAGACAGGAACAGCAGCATGAAGATTCTCAATAGCAGAGTCTGTCGCTGACAGTCTTGCGTCACTAGGACGACAGTTAATGGGAAGCACCTGCAGGGCTGACTCCAGAACAACTGTGTCCCTGCACTTAAATGCCCCGGGCACTACATGTCTACAGTGCTGCTGTCTGCCCTTAATGATTCATCAGTCCTCTGCGCTCATCAAGTCTCTCCACCCTTTCTGCAAAGGCCCAGGTTTGGCTTTGTACCCAGCTGAAGATACGAGGAAGAGACTGAGGCAAAGGCACAAGGTGCTAAGGCGGCCTCCTCCGCCTCCTCCTGTGGGCCCACCATGCCCACCTGTTGGCCACGATGCTAGGGTAATAGGCCTTCTGGTTCGCGTCCACCTTCAGGTCACTCTGGTGAATGAAGCGCTCCTGCTCCTCGAAGGCTCGAATGACGCTGACCCCCAGCAAGGTCTCGTTGAAATGGGAATAGACTGGGGAGCGGCTGACGGACTCGAGGCGCTTCAGCTGCCGGGAGGAGGCCACGTAGAACCTCTGGAGTAGAGAACAGATGCGGGGAGTTGATGAAGGTTCCCTCATCCCGTCCTCCCAGGGCACGGCTGTGCTGGACAAAGTCTAGACATCACCGAAACCTCCAGGAAGCAAAATGTTAGAGCCGGGCTGCTCTCACAGGGGTGCCTGTGCACCTGGTGAAGCACAGGGATAGCACCAATGACAAGGACGGTGACGATGAATAGCTCATGCTTAAACAAAGACTACTGCTCCAGGCATAGTTCTAAGCATTTTTACAAACATCAGTTCATTCAATCCTCACAAAAAACCTACGAGGTGCTCATTCCTATATATGATGAGTAAACTAAGGCACAAAGAAGCTAGTTAATCTCCTCCCCAAGGTGACGTGGCTAGCAAGGGGCAGAGCTGGGATTCAGACCCAGGACATCTGGACTGCAAAGGGCTAACCTCTACCCTGTACTGCCTCTCTGAAGCTTTCCACCTCTAGGGCTTTCTAGAACCAGCAGTGTGGTTTTGGGGATAGGCTTTGAGGTCAACGAGACCTCAGTTCAAATCCTGACTCAACTACTGACTGGCAATATAAACACGGCTAACACTTTATTTCTCTAAGCCTCAGTTTCCTCATCTGTAAAATGGGAACAACAAGGCTTGCTTGGCCACGTGTGGTGGCTTATGCTTGTAATACCCGCACTTCAGGAGGCAGAGGCGGGACATCACTTGAGGTCAGGAGTTTGAGATCAGCCCAGGCACATGGCAAAACGCCATCTCTACAAAAACAAGAAATTATTAAAAAAAAAAAAAAACCCACAAGGCTTGCTTCACAGGGTCATTGTGAGGGTGACATGTAAGAATTACAGTCTTACATGTGATGTATATTTGCGTGGCTACATTATTTCATAAATCATCTAGATATACATGATGTCACTAAGCACAGTGCCTGGTAATATTAGGTTGAACCATAAGAAATGGCTGTTTCTATAGATAAGAAATGAATATTAGCAATCTCATATAGTTTGACCTAACAGTAAGCACTCAGTCAGCTGGTGACTACTGTTATTAAGTGACAGAATTCCACCTGTTGATCACATCCCCTCAGGGGTGACTGTGTCCCTGCAATGGCCGGTTCCGGCACACTCAGCCCAGCTGAGATGCCCATGAAGATAAGGTCAATCTCGTCACCCTCCTCCTTCGATGGCCTCCCAGTGCTCTTAAGAGTTGCCAACCAAGCTTCCCTCAACTCATCTTGTCCTGTAACTCTCCCCTTCCTTTCCTGTACACAGGCCGCCTGTCTCCACCACCATTCCTGTCCCATCCAGGCCATTCCTCATCACCCAGCAGATGGTAGCACAAATGTCACTTCCTAGGGAAGCCCTTCCCATCCTCCAACATGAGCACCATCTCCGGGCTTCAGTGTCCCAGCTCCTGGGCTACGATGATACGTTTCACAAGCAGCTCCACCCACCCTCGCCGGGAGATGCCTCATCTGCTCTGCCTGCCCCAACCTGGGCATTCAGCCAGTGCCAGGCACCAAGAGCCGCCTGCTAAGTCTCGTTAGATTCAGAACAAAAGCCAGCCACCCTCCGGAAGCTTTGTGGAGCTGTGGATCAGAGGCTGCACCAGTCATTTGAGGACACCGCACTCTCCTAGACTAGGTTTTCTCATCTATGCAAAAGGAACTGGTGAGCTCGGGGTTCCCGATTCCAAAAGGTGCCTACAATTGCTTATCGACAGCAGAGCTGGGAAAACTAATACAGGGTTGCTAGGAACTCAGCCTCCCTGCGTCCTGCCCTGCGCCACGTGTACTGGGCTGCTTTGGGGCAGAGTCCAACAGAGAGCATCAACAGCAGCAGGTGGCTTTTACGAGGCCTCTGTGGTTGGCAGCTTCTTTCTGAGTGGCGGCACAGGCATTAATTGGAACCACAGACGGAGAGCCTCCTGGGGGCCCAGAAGCTCTGTAAGTGAACCCAGGCACCACATAACCCCACGCAGTCTCAGAATAGCTGTTCCGCCAATTCCTGGAATGTGGATCAGATATAATTTCTTCTCCAGCTGTTCCCACCGCCTCCCATGAAATCCAGACCCCTCTGCACGGCTGAAGGCCCAGGTGGTTCTGCTCCATCTTACCCTGGACCACATCTCCTTCCTCTCTCATTGGCTTGCCTTCTGAACAGTCCAGATGCAAATCGCTCTGAAGGGCGTTACCTGTTCAATTTCCTCCACTTGCCGCTGCCTCTGAACCTTATTTACTGGAAAAATCTAACCTGAGATGAATATCTGTTCAGGAATGATCTGATTATTTTTTTAGTTTTTAAGACAGAGTCTCGCTGTGTCACCCAGGCTGGAGTGCAGTGGCATAATCTCGGCTCATTGCAACCTCTGCCTCCCAGGTTCAAGCAATTCTCCTGCCTCAGCCTCCTGAGTAGCTGGGAATGCAGGCGCCCGCCACCGCACCTGGCTAATTTTTGTATTTTTAGTAGAGACGGAGTTTCACCATGTTGGCCAGGCTGGTCTCAAACTCCTGACCTCAAGTGATCCACCTGCCCTGCCGATATGATGTTTTTTTGAGACAACTTGCTCTGTCACCAAGGCTGAAGTGCAGTGGCACAATGTCAGCTCACTGCAACCTTCACCCCCCAGGCTCAAGTAACCCTTCCACCTCAGCCTCTCAAGTAGGTGGGACTACAGGTGCATGCCACCACACCCAGCTAATTTTTGTATTTTTGGTAGATATCAGGTTTTCCCATTTTGCTCAGGCTGGTCTCGAACTCCTGCGCCCAAGCGATCCTCCCGCCTCGGACTCCCAAAGTGCTGAGATGACAGGCATAAGCCACCTCACCCGACCGAACTTCATGTAAATGAAATCTCTAAGTACCTACTCTTTTGCGTCTGGCTTCTTTTGATCACTGTAATTATCTGTGAGATAAACCCAAATTGTTGTGTATTAGCATTCCATTCCTTTTTACTACTCGGCCATAGATTGTATAATTATATCACAATTTATTTCTCCACAGTCCTGTTAACGGACATTTGAGCTGTTTCCAGTTTGGGCCGATTATGAATCAAGATGCTGAGAACATTCTAAGCACTGCCTTTGCTTTTTTTTTTTTTTTCCCCATATACACTTAAGAATGAGACTGCCTGGTGAGAGGATAAATGTACGTTTAGCCAAAAGCCATTAAAAAATTTACTATCCTATAATCTTGACCCTTAAAAAGATGATGTTTTCATGTATCCACCTCCCTTCCAGTCCTGCCCCCACACATTATATATTTTATCTCAGTGATGACAGCGCACATACAACTTAGTCCTTTGCTGAGATCATTTCCTTTGCTGTTGAAAAATAAAATCCTTGGTGCTCCAACAGCTGTGTCTTCTAATTATCCCTGCTCAAAGCCACATTGTTCCACTGTGTACCCCTGCTCAAAGCCACATCGCTCCACGGTGTCCCCAAGGTCCTGCTATTGGCAGACATTTAAGTTGCCCTCAACATTGCATTTGGCCTGTTTTGGAGTCTTCTTTTTGAGTCTTTCAGGAAATTTTCCAGCTGGCGTATGAACATAGATAACATTTTTAGAAAATGCAAAAAAAAAAAAAAAAAAAAAAAAAGCTGGCACCAATTTCAAGGGGATATAATGAGACTCCGGGAACCGGACCTACTCTCTGATTCCATCACTGTTTGTTCTCATCAATCATTGGGCCACGGTGTAGTGGTGCGCAGGGGCCGGCTGACTGAACCAAGGCCCCCTGGATGCCACCTGAACAGCTGTGCAGCATGATTTCAGATACGCCATACCTCATGGTTTCTTACTCTTGTTTTGCTTTGCAGCTGGAATGCTCCCATCTAAACAACCCATCCCTACTGGCAACCGTGCTGCAGTTAATCTTTTAGGGGTAAGTAACGGCACAGTTTGGGAACTGGACAGACTTGAGGTTGCACTCTCAGCTCTCCCACTTAGCAAGATGTTCCACCTGTCAATTGAAAACATGATCTATCCTGCGATATGCTAAGAAACCACATGCATTTAAAGAACAAAGAACATATAAACGTTTCTGCAGAAGGGATGCAGCAGAGATGACTGACTGCCTACACAATTTCTCCTTCTTTCCCAACAGAAACTTCTTTATTTTTCTGAGACAGAGTCTCACTCTGTCACCCAGGCTGGAGTGCAGTGGCGCAATCTTGACTCACTGCAACCTCCGCCTCCCGGGTTCAAGCAATCTCCTGTCTCAGCCTTCCGAGTAGCTGGGATTACAGGCACATGCCATCACACCTGGCTAATTTTTGTATTTTTAGTAGAGACAGGGTTTCATCATATTGGTCAGGCTGGTCTCAAACTCCTGACTTCAGGTGATCCACCCGCCTCAGCCTCCCAAAGGGCTAGAACTACAGGCGTGAGCCACCACGCCCAGGCCCAACAGAAACTTCTTGCTTGGAAGTGCTATGTGCCCAGCTGAAACACGACACTTCCCAGGGTCCCTTGTGAATAGAGCTGGTCCCATGACTAAGTTCTGGACAATAAGATGTACAGGTGTCCCTCTGATCCAAGATTTCACTGTCCACGGCTATATGGTTTGGCTGTGTCCCCACCCACATCTCATCCTGAATTGTAGTTCCGTTAATCCCCGTGTGTCATCGGAGGGACCAGCTGGAGATAACTGAACCACAGGGGCAGTTTCCCCCAACCTGTTCGCATGATAGTGAGTGAGTTCTCACAAGATCTGATGGTTTTATAAGGGAGCTCCCTGACTTCGTGGCGCCCTCATTCTTCTTCCTGCCGCCATGTGAAGGAGGACATGTTTGCTTCTCCTTCTGCCATGGCCTCCTCAGCCGTGCGGAACTATGAGTCAATCACATCTCTTTCCTCAATAAATTACCCAGTATTGAGTAGTTCTTCACAGCAGCATGAAGGATAAACTAATACACATGGTTTTGGTTATCCATGGTCAACTGTGATCGAAAACCAGTAAATGAAATGAAATAAATGAAAAATTTCAGAAATAAATAATGTGTAAGTTTTAAATTGTGCACCCTTCTGAGTAGTGTGATGAAATCTCCCCCAGTCCCATCTGGGGTGTGAATCATCCCTTTGTCCAGCGGATCCACGCTGCAGACCCTCCCTGCCAGTTTAGTCACTTAATAGCCATATCCGTTATCAGAGTGACTGCCATGGTACTGTGGGGCTTATGTGTAAGTAACCCGAATTTACTCAATAATGCTCCTGGCTGGGCGCAGTGGCTCATGCCTGTAATCCCAGCACTTTGGGAGGCTGAGGCAGGCGGATCACTTGGGGTCAGGAGTTTGAGACCAGCTTGGCCAACATGGTGAAACCCCGTCTCTACTAAAAATACAAAAACTAGCTGGGCGTGGCACAAGCCTGTAATCCCAGCTACTTGGGAGGCTGAGGCAAGAGAATCGCTTGAACATGGGAGGCGGATGTTGCAGTGAGCCAAGATTCCAACACTGCACTCCAGCCTGGAGGACACAACTAGACTCTGTCTCAAAAATAATAATAATAATAATAAAAATAACGCCTCTAAAGTCCAGGAGTAGTGATACTGGCATATTGTTATAATTGCTCTATTTTATTATAAATCACTGCTATTAATCTCTTATTATGCCAAACTTATAAATGAAACTTTATCATAGGTATGTATGTACAGGAAAAAAAACAGTATATGTAGGATTCAATACCATCTGCGGTTTCAGGCATCCATTAGGAGGGGTCTTAGAATGTGTGCCTGCAGATAAGGGAGTAGTGCTGATTCAGCACCCATATGCTCCCTTGTCCTACTTCCCTTCCTTGGTCTTGCTGACTGAAATACAGATATAATGGCTGGAGCTCCAGCAGCAACCTTGGACCATGAGGCCAACTTAAGAATGAAAGGCTTGTATAAATATGGTAAGATTATTAAAATGTTTAAATAAAAGCAGGTATCTGGGATATTTAACTCAGGAAGCTGCCATACCAGCCCTGAACAGCCTACCTCTAAATTTCTATCATGACAGAGAAAAAGAAACATCTGTCTTATTTAAGCTGCTATTATTCATGTTTTTTCTTTAGTTCCTGTCTCCTGCAGGAGGCTTAGGAACTAAAGAATTTTATACTTGAAGAAATTTTAGGCTGGGCGCAGTGGCTGACACCTGTAATCCCAACACTTTGGAAGGTCGACGTGGGCAGATCACCTGAGGTCAGGAGTTTGAGACCAACCTGGCCAACATTGGTGAAACCCCGTCTCTACCAAAAATACAAAAATTAGCCGGCTGTGGTGGTGTGTGCCTGTTAACTCGGGAGGCTGAGGCAGGGGAATCACTTGAACTGGGAGATGGAGGTTGCAGTAAGCCAAGATTGCGCCACTGCACTCCAGCCTGGGCGACAGAGCGAGACTCTGTCTCAAAAAAAAAAAAAAGAAATTTTAATAATGAAGTTGTCTTTATAGCAATAGGTTTTGTTTCCTTTTTGAACTGACAGGTGGAAAAATAAAACTTAGGAAAAAAGTGCATTTTGTTATTGTGAGCAAAAAAACAATTTACGTATTCAAAACTGACAAAAACAAATCTACATGCTTCAAAAGCACCACACTGGGGACATGGTGAGATAAAACGAGGCTTTAGGTAACACTGGTGTATAATGCACAGTAGGGCTTGTCCTGAACACTAAGACTTCACCCCTTACCTGGACGAAGAAGTAGATGAGGCCGAGGGGCGGGATGATGATCGCGGCGATGGGCGTGGCCAGCAGGATAACGATGCAGGCACCGATGACGTTGAACAGGGAGCCCATGAACATCTTGATGACCTCCGGGATCATGGAGTCCACCGTGTCCAGCTCCTTGGAGAAGCGGTTCACCAGGTTCCCACTGGGGGTCCGCTCAAAGAAGCTCATGGGTGACCGCAGGATGCTGTGCAGCAGGTCCACATGCAGACAGCGGGAAGCCAAGATGCCCCCGATGGACACGGCCATGGAGTAGCCAAACACGGCGATCCCTGCAGACACTTGGAGTTAAACTCCACAATGCGGAGGGGGAGCTGACCAGGCACTGCAGGGAGGAGTGGCCCTGCGGACGAGGCAGGCCTGGACTCCCAACTTCGAACAATGATAATAATGAGGAACCACACATGGTGCCTCACACCTGTAATCCCAGCACTTTGGGAGGCCAAGGCGGGTGGATCACTTGAGGTCAGGAGATCGAGACCAACCTGGCTGACACAGTGAAACCCCATCTCTACTAAAAATACCAAAATTAACCAGGTACGGTGGCAGGCGCCTGTAATCCCAGCTACTCGGGAGGATGAGGCAAGGGAATCGCTTGAATCCGGGAGGTGGAGGTTGCAGTGAGCCAAGACTGCGTCACTCCACTCCAACATGGGTGACACAGTGAGACTCCATTTCAAAAAATAATAATAATAATAATAATAATAATAATAATGACGATGATAACGATGATGATGGTGGTGGCTATTATTCGGAGGGTACTTCCTATGTGCTAAGCACTGTGCTGGGTTTTACATGTAACTAATTTTTATGACTCCGAATAACTTCTATTACTACTCAATTTACAGATAAGAAAACTGAAGTCCAGATAGGTGAATGCCTTTGCCCTTAGTATACTGTGCCTATCAGAGGCAGAACTGGGATATTAATCCAGACAGCCTGCTCTTAATCCACACGCCATACTCCTCTAGACCGGGGGTCCCCAACCCCGGGGCCACAGATTGGCAGCAGTCCATGACCTGCCAGGAACCAGGCCCCACAGCAGGAGGTGAGCGGTGGGCAAGTGAGCTGATATCATCACCTGAGCTCTGTCTCCTGTGAGCTCAGCAGTGGCATTAGATCCTCCTAGTAGCGCAAACCCTACCGTGACCTGTGCATGCAAGGGACCTAGGTTGTGGGCTTCTTATGATAATCTAATGCCTGATGATCTAAGGTGGAACAGTTTCATCCCGAAATCATTCCCCACCCTTTCCATGAAACCAGTCCCTAGTGCCAAAAAGGCTGGGGATCACTGCTTTAGAACAGTGTTATCTAAGATGATTTTCTGAAATGATGGAAATGATGGCTACTGAGCACTTGAAACCTGTCTAGTCTCATCGAATAAATCTTTAATTTTATTTTTCTTTTGAGAGGGGGTCTCTCCCATCCTGTCACCCAGGGTGGAGTGCAGGGCTGTGATCATGGCTCACAGAAGCCTCGACCTCCTGGGCTCAAGCAATCCTCCCACCTCAGCCTCCTGAGTAGCAGGGATTACAGGCATGTGCCACCATGCCCAGCGAATTTTTGTACTTTTGTAGAGACAGGGTTTTGCCATGTTTCCCAGGTTGGTCTTGAACCCCTGGACTAAGCGATCCACCCGCCTTGGCCTTCCAAAGTGCTGGGATTACAGGCGTGAGCTATTGCCCCTGGCCTTTATTTAATTTTAACAATTGAAATTAAAATAGCCACCTGTGTCTTGCAACTACTGCACCAGACAGCACAGCTCTGGAACAGACACTGTTGCTGTGTGAGTTCAGGTAATACCACACCCTCTCTGTTCTCTATCTTCCCTCAATTACAATTTGTAGGCCACAGTCCTTTCCGCTAATGGCAAGGAAAGGGGAGGGTAGGGATTGAGAGAGTCAAGGAATCCATGTGTGCTCTGCTATCAGCAGGTCTTCCCAAAGCCGCCTCCTGGAGATCCTAAGACACTGGTGGTTCTCTCAAACAATGCACAGGAGGCCACTGCGCGTTCCAGAGCAGCAACTCCTAGGAACAGAGGCCTCTGTCTCGGCCTCTTTATAGGAAGACACCCAACAGGCAGGGGCTCAAGTGACAGGCTCTGAAGCCAATGCTGCCAAATCCCATCTCTGCCACTTACCAGCTATGGGACCTTCTATAGGTCACTGAATCTCTCAGTTTCCTCATCTGTACAATGGGACAATGACGCTAACCTCAGAGCACTGTGAAATGTAAAGTCCCCACCTGGCAATGTGCCTGGCATACAGGAAGTGCTCAAATGTGTCAGGACTATCCATTTACTGTGAATATGTCATATGGACCATACATGTGTATTTGCAAACACAGCTCACATACTGCATAGCACAGTGGAAAACAGCGTGAGCTTCTGAGCCAGACTGCCTTGTTCAGTGCCAATACTGCCATGTATTAGCTGTGTGACTTTCAGCAACTCACTCAACCTCTCTGCGCCTCAATTTCTGTATCTCCAAAATGGGGGAAATATTAACTCCTACCTCACAGGACTGCTGCAGGGATAAAATAAGTTAAAACACGTGGAAGTGTTTAGAACACAGCCAAGCACCAAGTAAATGCTCCGTAAACGCCAGCTGTTTTATCAACGCTGCTGCATTTGAGGACTCCCATAGAATCACACAGACCGGTACAGAGCAGGGGGTTTTGTTTGTTTTTTGAGACAGGGTCTTGCTCTGTCGCCCAGGCTGGAGTGCAGTGGTGCAATCACAGGTCGAACTGTAGGCTCAAACTCCTGGGCTCAAGTAATCTTCTGACCTCAGCTGCCCAAGTAGCTGAGACTACAGGCACATACCACCACGTGCACCTGTAGTTTATTTTATTTACCTATTTTTTTACTTATCTATTTTTTCTAGAGATAGGGTCTCACTATGTTGTCCAGGCTGGTCTCAAACATCTGGCCTCAAGCGATCCTCCGACTTCAGCCTCCCAAAGCGTGGGATTACAGGTGTGAGCCACCATGCCTGGCCAACAGCAGGGTTTCTCAATCTTGTGACAACCAAAAGCATCTCCAGATATTGTCAAACATACCTGGGGGACAACACTGCCCATAATTGGGAATTACTAGTATGAGCCAATTTCCGCCCTCGTTCAGCAGGCAAAAGTCCACAAATGAGACCTCACAGAAGCTCTGTCACGGGGGTCCTTCCCAACCCACAGTGCTTCCAGTGGCCTCTGTTCTCAACTGTCCTCATCTGTAAAATGGGCACACTGGAGCACTCCTCCCATCTACCACCAAGGCCCATATGAACAAAGCACTCAAACACTGACTCTACAAATATCTGAGTGTCTACTGGCTGACGGCTACTGTTCCTCTGGGTTTGGCTTGGTTTGGGGTCCCACAAAACCCTGAGGACTCTAAGGATCCATTTCTGTAATTAGACAAAGTCACAACAGGGGCCCAAATCGGGCAGGGTGGGAGACAGTGGCACCCACCTTGCGAAATGCCCAGGGCTCCATAGACGCTCAGCCGGACCTTCGTGTGCTCCTGGGTCCCGTTGACTATGGGGTCATCAGTCCAGAGGCTGAGCCAATAGTTGGAAGCCAGCGCGGCCACATGGTTACATATGAAAAGGAAGATGCTGAGAAAGGAGATGAAGAGTCCGATGGCCTTCATGTAGTCCCAGTACACGGAAAGTTTGACCTGGAGACCATGGGAGATAAGGCAGCTTAGCACACGCATGCACCCAGCCCCAGCCCCACAAGGTCAGGGACTTCAGCACTGCGCCACCCAGCTGCCTGTCTTTGCTCCTACCTAGAACACCTTCCCCTTTAGCTATTCGACAAAGTCAGCAGTAAACAAAGTCAAGGGCCAGGCACCGTGGCTCACATGTGTAATCCCAACACTTTGGGAGGCTGAGGTGGGCAGATCAACTGAGGTAGAGAGTTCGAGACCAGTCTGGCCAATATGGCAAAACCCCGCCTCTACTGAAAATATAAAAAATTAGCCGGGTGTGGTGGTGGGCACCTGTCATCCCAGCTAATGGTGAGCCTGAGGCAGGAGAATTGCTTTAACCCAGGAGGCAGAGGTTGCAGCAGTGAGCCAAGATTGCCCCACTGCACTCCAGCCTGAGTGAGCAAGTGAGACTCCAGCTCAAAAAGAAAAAAAAAAAAAAAAAATAGGGTCTCTGCCCTCATGCATGGAGCTTCCAGTCGCGTGGTGAGATAGGCTCCCATCAAATCATCCCAGATAAATGCATCATCACAGAGAAGGGCCATACACGGTGCACAATTCCACATGAGTATAAAATTGGACATCCTGACCTAATGCTGTCTAGAGAGGTATTGGGGGAGGTTTCTTCAAGGAAGCGACATTGAAGAGTTAAACCAAGGCCAGGTGCAGTGGCTCACGCCTGTAATCCCAGCACTTCAGGAGGCCGAGGCAGGTGGATCACCTGAGGTCAGGAGTTTGAGACTAGCCCGGCCAACATGACGAAATCCCTTCCCTACTAAAATACAAAAACTAGCCAGGCCTGTTGGCAGGCACACGTAATCTCAGCTACTCGGGAGGCTGAGGCAGGAGAATCGTTTGAGCTTGGGAGGCGGAGGTTGCAGTGAGCCGAGATTGCGCCACTGCACTCCAGCCTGGGCGACACAGAGAGACTCTGTCTCTAAAAAATAAAAACAATAAAGGGTATTGGCTGGGCAGAGTGGCTCATTCCTATAATCCCAGCGCTTTGGGAGGCTAAGGCCGGTGGATCACCTGAGGTCAGGAGTCCGAGACCAGCCTGGCCAACATGAGGAAACCTTGTCTCTACAAAAAACACAAAAACCAGTCGGACATGGGGCACGTGCCTGCAGTCCCAGCTACTCAGGAGGAGGCTAAGGCACAACAGTCGTTTGAACGCAGAGGTGGAGGCTGCAGTGAGCCAAAGTTGCGCCACTGCACACCAGCCTGGGTGACAGAGGGAGACACTGCCTCCAGGAAAAAAAAAAAAAAAAAGGGGTTAAACCATCTGAAAATGGAAAAAAGGTGGCAGAACCAGCACGTGCAAAAGCCCTGAGGTAGGAGGGAACACAGCGCAGCTGGGGAACTGAGAGAAGGCGCTGGTGGCTGGAGCCAGATCATGGAGCAGCAACGAACAGGAGGTTGAAGACACGGGTCGCAGTCAGACCACACATGGCATGGGAGACTCGGGTCAGGATTCCAACTTTTATGCCAAGACTGACAGAAAGCAGAAGCCACCAATGAGCTTTAAGCAATGTGTGACATGTTGCCTGGCAACCAAGGCCAAGTGTCACCTCCACAGCCCAACTGGGCCAGCCTCCCCCAATTCCTTTCCCTGTGAGCACAGAACACCGTCTCACCCATCTTCCCAGTGCCCAGCTCGCTCCGGAGGCGAAGCTGCGAGTTTCTTTCCCTCCTGTATTCCCTGTGGCGCCCAGCATGGGGTTAAACAAATCAGTCCAGCCTCCTGACATGACAGACAGGGCACTCTGCTTTAGGCCAGCCCCTGCCTAAACCACCTGGCTTGGTTTCAACAAATTCCAGTGATCTTTACCCGTGTCTGTGCTCACTGTCATTTCAAGCTTTTCATGCTGAATTTTGGGTCGTAAAAATCATCTGGAAACTGGGCGTGGTGGCTCACACCTATAATGCCAGCACTTTGGGAGGCCAAGGCAGGAGAATCACTTGAGCCCAGGAGTTCGAGACCAGGCTGGGAAACACGGTAGGAGCCTGTCTCTACAAAAAAGTTTAAAATTAGCTAGGTGTGGTGGTCCACCCCTCTAGTCCCAGGTACTCAGGAAGCTGAGCCAGGAGGATCTCCTGAACCCAGAAGCTTAAGGCTGCAGTGAACACTGGTCACACCACTGCACTCCAGCCTGAGCGACACAGTGAGGCCCTGCCCCCACCAGAAGAAAAAACAAAAGTCATCTGACCCTACGGTCTAGCTGAAAGGTAACAGGTGAAAGATAACAGGTCTGGTGTGTACCTGATTGCTTCCTTTTGAGTTTTCAAGTTTCCATTCTGGAAAATGAAATATGTGGGTGAGGAGACAGGTCATAACTGAGAATGTGTTTACTTCACCACTTGGCTTCATCATATACAGCCAAGCTGCTGCCATCCCTGAAATTAGCCTGCAGCGTTCGGGAACCTCTTTCTCATGAGCAATGGAATGTGGTGGGCTCGGGGGTCACAAATGACAAGTGTGTGGCCAGGTGTGGTGGCTCACATCTGTAATCTCAGAAGCAGGCAAGTCACTTGAGCCCAGGAGTTCAAGACCAGCCCGGGAAATAGGGTGAAACCTCATCTCTACAAAAAATAAAGAAAATTAGTCAAGCATGGTGGTGCACACATGTAGTCCCAGCTACTCAGGAGGCTGAGGTGGGAGAATCACTTGAATCTGGGAGGTGGAGGCTGCGGTGAGCCATGATTGTGCCACTGCACTCCATCCTGGGTGACAGAGTCAGACCCTGTCTCAGAAAAAAAAAAGAAAACAAATTAAAAAAACAAAAAAAAAAAGGCCAGGCACCGTGGCTCACGCCTGTAATCCCAGCACCAGCATTTTGGGAGGCTGAGGCGGGCGGATTACGAGGTGAGAAGTTTGAGACCAGCCTGGCCAACATAGTGAAACCCCATCTCTACCAAAAATACAAAAATCAGCTGGGCATGGTGACGCATGCCTGTAGTCCCAGTTACTAGGGAGGCTGAGGCAGGAGAATCACTTGAACCCAGGAGGCGGAGGTTGCAATGAGCTAAGATTGCGCCATGGCACTCCAGCGTCTCAAATAAAAAAAAAAAAGAAAGAAATGATGAGCGTGTTGTGCCTGGCTCCACTCCTGGTCCAACTTTGACAAGTTACAAGCCCCCTGGCTTTGGTGTTCCTTGAATATAAAATCGGAGTTAAGTGAGCATTAAATGGGCCTGGCATCTCTGGCCCTTCCTTCCCATGTCCTGTGATTTGGGGTAATTTCTTTGGCTTCCTGGAGGGTCACTAAGTGTAAGGCGGGAGAGGACACCACAGTCACCTCTACCCCTTGTTATGGTCCTGTGATGATAAGTTAACAAGCCAGGAACAGACAGTCCTGGGAAGTTCCGGACACATCCAGGCGGATCTAAGAAAAGGTGCCCCAACCTCACTCCCCCGCTACCACCTTTCATGGGTTTTTTTTGTTTTTCTTTATCTGCATGCTTATTTTTTACCTACTTTAAAAATTCAACTCCCTTTTTTTTTTTAAAAAAAAAAACATAACCACATGTATTTTTAAAAATAAACTTTGGATCACCACCACAAATGGAGAATTATTAACATTTGCCCAAAATAGACGATCTTTAAAAACAATAAAACAGGAGCTCAAAACCTGGTCTCCTTGTTACGAAGAGAGGCTAGTGGTTGTTAGGTACTGAAGGCAGGGTAGGACCCAACTGAGACTTTCTCAGGGACATAATCATTAGGACCAAATGAGAAATGAAAAGTAAGCAGGGCGCAGTGCTCACGCCTCTAATCCCAGCACTTGGGGAGGCCAATGTGGGTGGATCACCTGAGGTCAGGAGTTCAAGGCCAGCCAGACCAACATGGTGAAACCCTGTCTCTACTAAAAACGCAAAAATTAGCTGGGCGAGGTAGCGAGTGTTTGTAATCCCCGCTACTCAGGAGGCTGAAGCAGGAAAATTGCTTGAACTGAGGAGGCAGAGGGTGTAGTGAGCCGAGATCGCACCATTGCACTCCAGCCATGGCGACAGAGTGAGACTCTGTTTCAAAAAAAAAAGAAAAGAAAAAAAAAGAAATGTAACAAACATTCATCTGTCATTTAATGTGTCTGTGCACAACCGGAAACCATCTCATGCACAACTGAACCCCACATTGCAGGAAGCCCTGATTTAAAGCATCCAGCTTAGCGCCTCTAGCTAATGAGACCCCCTGAGCTGCTCAGGCAGTCAGTAGAGCAGAGACTACAAGCACCAACGCTGGAGTCTGCCAGGGTTCAAATCCCGGTTCTGCCGCTGACCAGCAGTGACCTTGGGGCAGTCACTTAGCCTCTCCCGCCTCAGTTTCTGGCGCTGTAAACAGTACTTCAGAGGTGTGTTGTGATGGACACGTGAGTTCACACAGACAAGGCACTTTGCATAGTGCCAGTGCACAGCGGGCGCTCTGTCAACTCCAGCCACCATCATCATTTAAGGAGCGAATCTCACCTGCCCTGTCTGCGCCTTGTCAGCCTCCATCAGCTTCCACGTCTCCTCCTTCTTGGCCCCATCTTTCTGCAGTTCCGCGGTGCTGTTGTGTTGCCTGCTGACGTCCCCGCTATAGGAGGAGGAGCTGCTGAGCTGTCTGGAGTAGCAAAGCACAGGGGTGTCAACGGCATGGATGCCTCGGGCAGGGTTGGAGGGCTCCCTGCTGGGGCTGCTATTGTGGGTCTGAACCATGGCATAAGAGACGGAGTGTTTCCACACGCACACGTGTAAACATATACATGAACACGTGCACATGTGCACCACACCCCACCATGTCGTTCCCCAGGGTTCCAGGTCCCCAGAGAAAGGCAGTGTCTCAGGCAGGAATGAGACCTGTGGGAAACGCGATCTGTGATGATCTCTGGGAGGCTGCAAAAAGCCCATGACCACTGATAGGCAAAAAGTGCGTGCTTGCCTTTTTTTCTTTTTTTTTTAAGATCAATTCTAATTGATCTCAAAACAAACAAACAAACAAACCGCCAATAAAAGATAAAACAGGGCGCATCACAGATCATTTTTCAAACACGAAAAAGATTCAAAATGTAACACATGATGAAAAACACAGAGAAAAGTACCCAGCGAGTTCAATTCTCTAGTTTTACAAACGTGGCGGGGGTTGGGGAGGGAACTTGCCCTGGCTGCTCCTTCACAGAAGCGTGTTACTCAGAAAGTACTATTCGGCCAGGTACAGTGGCTCCCACCTGTCATTGCTGCACTTTGGGAGGCCAAGGCGGGTGGATCACTTGAGGCCAGGAGTTCAAGACCAGCCTGGCCAACATGGTGAAACCCCGTCTCTACTAAAAATACAAAAATTAGCCGGGCATGGTGGCACGTGCCCGTAGTCCCAGCTACTCGGGACACTGAGGCAGGAGAATCGCTTGAATCTCAGAGACAGAAGTTGCAGTGAGCCATGATTGCGCCACTGCACTCCAGCCTCAGCGACACAGTAAGACTCTGTCTCAAATTAAAAAAAAAAAAAAAAAAAAAATAGCACCTTTTGCACATCAGTGGTCATCAGCTTTATGCAGACCCCCACAGATGATCACAGATTGCACTGCCGCCAGTTTAGTGTTCAGTGGCTGAGACTGCGCCAGTGTACACTGTACTCTAGCCTGGGTGACAGAGGGAGACTCCATGTCAAAAAAAAAAAAAAAAAGAAAGAAATTATGGAGGTCATGGAAAACACAGCTGTGGCTCATTGCCGTGGAAATTTCTATACCTTCCTCTACCTACTTATCTCCTGCACAAGATTACAAGCTACCTGAGGTCAGGAGCCCCATGTGAGTCATACCTGCAGCCCCAGAACTGTGTTCCCTGAAAATACTTCCTGAAGGCTGAATAAACCTCCAGCACCTCCCCCCTCTTTGAACTAAGGCCTGGGGGTGCGTAACCTTTCTGTATCCATGAGATCTGTGCAACGGTCTTTGGTTAAGGCCAAGTGAAGTGGAAGTGGCCCTCAAAGCCAAAAGCAAGAGTGAGTTTTCAGGGAGCAGAGGGAAGAATCAGAACCAACTCTGGATGGAATCTAGAATTCAGATGGGGAGCTGGGGCTTCCTGCTTCATGACGTAGGACTTCACAAGTCACACACCTTGGACAGAAAATCTTATATCCTTCTACACTCATGCACTGTCTGGAGCCTCCCACTACAATTTAGGCTGTGTGAGATGATAACAATGGCAAAACCGACATCTACCAAGTGTTTGTCTGTTCCAGGCACAGTGCTGGGCCGCATCGTCTTTGCTCTCTCCTGACCCCTATAGCAACTGCAGGTCCGCGATCCCTTCTCAAATCTCTGGGGTCAGGTATGTTTAGTCTCTGACTTTGTCAATTTTTGTTGTTGCTGTTGTTTTGCTGTTTTCTGGGTTTTTTTGTTTGTTTTTGTTTTTTGAGACGGAGTCTCGCTCTGTCACCCAGGCTGCAGTGCTATGGTGCGATCTCGGCTCACTGCAACCTCCACCTCCTGGGTTCAAGTGATTCTCATGCCTCAGCCTCCCGAGTAGCTGGGACTACAGGCATGCACCACCATGCCTGGCTAATTTTTTTATCTTTGGTAGAGACAGGGTTTCATCATGCTGGCCAAGCTGGTCTTGGACTCCTGTCCTCAGGTGATCCGCCCACCTCGGACTCCTGTCCTCAGATGATCCGCCCACCTCAGTCTCCCAAAATGCTGGGATTATAGGCGTAAGCCACCATGCCTGGCCAACTTAGCCAATTTTTAAAAACTAGTATGGTTAACATACTGCATACGGTATAAATCCCCGAGGGTCTAAGGAAACCCTCTATAATCAAACACAAACATACTTCCTTTTTTGTAGAGATGGGGTCTTGCTATATTGTCCAGTGTGGTCTCAAACTCCTGGCCTCAAGCGATCCTTCTGCCTCAACCTCCCAAAATGCTCAGATTACAAGCATAAGCCACCATACCTGGCCTTGAGACAGTTTTAAACCGAATGCTGCTTCATAAAGCCTGAACCTTCCAGGCCCCACCAAGGGATCTGAGCAAAGACTCACACCATGTAGGGAACATGAGTGTCAGAAGCGGGGACAGATGGTTAAATCATGAGGACTGTGTGTGTCGTGCCACCTGGCAAGAAGAGTGCCACATTCCTTCTTTGGGCCTCTGTGCTCCGAAAAGCAAGTCTTTGGAGGATTTGGGAAGGGAGGCAGAAAGACCAGGACTTCCAGGACCCCAGGGGGCCGAGGCCTTTCTTCTGTCCCTCCACTTGTCCTCCCGCTGACAGGGCAGGGTCCTCGGGTTGGGGCCACCCTCCCCGCTCTTACCTCTGCAGTTGCTTCCCTGCACTGTCTGTCACCAGCATGCCATTCTCCATTTGCTTTGCTTCCTTCCCTGGACCGCTGATGCCCGTGACCCCTGGCAGAAGAGAGACAAAGGGGGCAAGTGGGGTTACATAAGCCAGATGCTAAAACCAAGGGCAAGAAACACCAGCCACTACAGGGAGGAGACAGCAGAGCACCTGGCCGCCAGGATGATCGGAAATAGGAGACCTGCTCTGCAGAGGCCACGGACAGGCTGTCTGGTTGTGGGGCAGGTGGTATTTGGGGTTCAGTCCCTTGGGGCAGGGACAGCGCTTCGCAACTGTGCAAAGGGCTCCATCCACTGAGGGAACTGGGCCTGAGCCAGCATCCTGTGACAGCGGCAATGGGTAAAACGCAGCCCAGAAAACAGTAGCTCTGCTGTGTTAAATTCACTTCCTAGGACCAGGATGCAAGGAACCACATCAGGGAAAGGGCACAGCCCCCTGATTCCCAAGCACTGCAAGAAGAGGTGATACTCAAAATAGATAACCAATTTGACAAGGGCATCAGCCAACAGGCAGAGGCCCAGAGACCCCTGTAGCGCCAGAAGTTAACCCTTCAGTTCCCAGACCACACAGAGGTCCCAAGAGTTCAGGGTAAAAGGTACCTGGGGCAGTGGCTGTCTCCACAGTAATAAGAAAGTATTTCAACATTTGAACAACTGGGGAACCGAGTTCTGTCAACAACCAGGTGAGCTTCAAAGTGGACCCTTCCCTGGTTGAGTCTTCAGATGAGACCCCAGCCCTGGCAGATGCCTCGGTTGCAGACTTAAGGAAGGACACTGATAAGGACACCAAGGGACACGGCAGCTGGATATCTGCCCTGATCCCAGTAAGAATTCACCTGGCATCAATAATAATCACCGGAACATCAACAATGACAATGACAGCCAACATTTATCAAGTGCGCTCGGGCATCATGCTGTGTCAAAACAGATCATATCTCTTTCCCGGTTCACAATAACTCAGTGAGGATGATGACTACTGCCCCCACTCTGCACTGACTGCCTCATTCTTTGGTGCCAGGAGAGAAAGCAGCACAATGTAAGGCATGAGACGGCTGACCCCAGAAGAGGTGGGAGAGGACCCAAGACAAAAGACACAAAAGGGATAAATATGCAGCCAGCAGCATGGTCAGGGTGACCCTGGGAACATGCTAGGGTGACTCTGGGAACATACTCGGGTGACACAAATAAAAACAGAGCTAAAAAATGCAAAGTCTCGCAGAAACAGCCACGCCTGGAGACACAGACACGCCTGGAAGGGAAGAGGGGGCTGCAGAGATCATTCCTGGACTCAGGGAGGCGCTCCATGCCAGGGATTCTCAGTCTTGGTTGTAAATGAGTCACAGGGGGCTTTATGAATGAGCAGGTGGCGGTCGGGCATGGTGGCTCACACCTGTAATCCCCAGCACTTTCGAGGCCGAGGTGGGCGGATCACTTGAGGCCAGGAGTTCGAGACCAGCCTGGCCAACATGGAAAAACCCCAACTCTATTCTAAAAACACAAAAATTAGCTGGGTGTGGTGGTGCGCACCTGTAATCCCAGCTACTCGGGAGGCTGAGGCATTAGAATTGCTTGAACCCAGGAGGCAGAGGTTGCAGTGAGCTGAGATCGTGCCACTGCATTCCAGCCTGGGTGACAGAGCAAGACTCTGTCTCAAAAAAAATAAAAAATAAAATAAAATAAAACAAAAATTAAAAAAGAAACCTAAGAAACATTAATGAAAGAAAAAAAATTAAAATTAAAAAATGAGCAGGTGCCCTCGTGTCTAGCCCGGTCCCTGCGGTGACTCTGAATTAGAGCACGCTCCATCAACTGTGATGTGTGGGAAGTGCTCTCTCATTTCCTGGCTGTGCGCCTTGGGGAAATGATAAACTTCTCTGAGCCTCATCTTCCACATCTGCAAAACAGGAATAGCAGCAGACCCAACCCTCATTCGCGAGAGGATGAAACGAGATCGCACGCAGGGCCTGGCACGGCAAGTGTTCAGTGATGGCAGCCCCTTAAACACGTTCTCCAGAGAACTACAGGCATAGCCAGGAACTGAGAACCTCTGCTTTAAACATTCCCTTTAATGTCAGCATCTGTTTTGTTTTGTCTAAACTAACTAAACACTAAATTAAGAAAACAAACAAAGCACAAATAGCCACATCACCCAGGAACAAAGAGTGACACCAAGCAGGACTTCCCAGGCAGCCAGTTCTCACACACATGCGTAACACCGGGAACCGGCCACGCTCTTAACCATCTTTCTCTGTGCAGGAATGAGAATGTTCTAGAACACTCCCAGGGACCTCCATCTGAAGGTTGTATGCCGCAGAGAGCCCCCTCCTCCTACCAGCAGCCTCAGACCGCCCTCCTGTAAGCCTCAGCCTTCACTTCTCCTGTTCCTCACTGACCACCAGGGTCAGTTGCGAGCTTCTGCAGGCATGCAGTGCTCCCTGAGGTTGCAGTGGCCTGCTATGGCAGTCTCACCCTCTCAACCCACCAATTAGCCCACAGGGTGAACTGGGCAGCTGGAAAATTCCACTCTGCATGGGGGAGGACCGAGCGCCTAAGAGGAGGAATCTGAACATCGGTTAGTCCACCATCCTGTCAGCCTTTGTTTTCTTTTTCTTGTCTTGAGACAAGGTCTTCTCTGTCGCCCAGGCTGGAGTGCAGAGGTGCGATCTTGGCTCACTGCAACCTTTGCCTCTAGGGTTCAATTGATCCTACCACCTCAGTCTCCCAGGAAGCTGGGATTACAGGCACGTACCACTGCGTCCGGATAATTCTTTTGTATTTCTAGTAGAGACGGGGTTTCACCATGTTGGCCGGGCTGGTCTCAAACTCCTGACCTCAGGTGATCCAACCACCTTGGCCTTCCAGACTGCTGGGATTACAGGTGTGAGCCACTGCTCCTGGCCCCCTGTTGGCCTTTTGAAGGAATCAGCTCTCCCTCTTCCTACAGCCTTGGTGGGCCTGTCAATCAGGGTGCCTCAGATTCCCCCAGCCAAGGTGGACAGTGTCCGAGATTGCCCCATGAAAGCCCCTCTCCCAGGACTTGAACCGTCATCAGTGGTCTACAGGGACCAAAGACAGTTCATCTGTCCTAAATGAGTCTGTCTGGTCCCGGAGTCCCCATTTCCTGAGTTCTACTGGCTCGGTTCTGCCTTTGATTCATGAGTTACCCGGTATCCTTCCAGAAAACAGCCTTTTTGTTTAAGGTGGCCAGATTCAGCTTCTGTTGCTTTTAAAAAAAAAAAAAGCCCTTGGCTGGGACCCTCAGCCACACACTGCCGAAGGCAGGAGAGATGGGTCCACTCTGGCCACTGGAATTCCTCTAGGTGACACCCCTCCTCAGGGCCCTCCACCACCACTTGCTGCAGTTCCCCAACAGGCGCGGATCACCCTGCATCGTCTGGGCCCATGTGTGTCTTGACTGTGCCCCAGGATGCATGGGTGGCAGCTCACAATCAAACTGTTGCCATTTATTTTCTATCCACTGTGTGCCAGGCACTTGATAAGCACGGTCCCCTCAAGGCGTGCTGGCCATGGTAACGTGACGCATGAAAGAGTAAAGCTTAGCCAAGGTCACCAGCAACAATAAAGGGATCTGGGGACTCAGGCCGTATTCCCCAGTGCCAGCCTCAAAGCCAGACACACAGGAAGTACCCAGTAAATGTGTGCTAAGTGAACCAATGAACAACCGGGGGAGTGAAAACCCAGGCATCTGACGACACCTCCCCAGACATGCAGCGACGGTCTCGGCCCGTCTCTGGCCTCATTCGATGAGCAGAGTCAACTCCAACCCAGGCAGTACTGACCTGCTTCCTCCTCGTCCACCACTTTGCTGCCTGGGAATTCAGAAGACCCAAGATGTTGTTAAGAAGCAAAGAAAAACTCCCACCCTAAGCCCCTAACTAAATGAAGAAGTGAAGGGGCTGTCTTTTCTAAAGGGGGAGGGGCAAGAAGGGCTGAAGGGTCTGCTCCATTTGTGCCTCAGTTTCCCCAACCCACACATGCTGGGTGGATCTGGGACAAGCACACTGCCGAAGACCAACCCCTTTCTCCAAAGTCATAACTGTGTTGGGTTTTTGTTTGTTGGAGACGGAGTTTCACTCTTTAGCCCAGGCTGGAGTAAAGCGGCGTGATCTCGGCTCACTGCAACCTCGGCTGCCCAGGTTCAAGCAGTTCTCTAGCCTCAGCCTCCCAAGCAGCTGGGATACAGGCGCCTGCCACCACACCTGGCTAATTTTTGTATTTTTTTATTTTAAGTTTATAATTAGATTTAACAGTATTACGATTCTAATAAGCAAGTTAAATCAGAAACCTTGAGACAATTATAAATATTTTACAGATATTTTGGAACCCAAGTATTAAGACTATAAATAAATATTAGCCCACATCTATGAAAAATGACCCATGTTTCTTTCTAATGAATTGACCATTACATTTCCGAAGTTATGAAATGGCCAACAGACCAGAGAAAGACAATTCTTTAGGCTCCTGCTTGAAACCAACAGCTTCAGCAAACTGCTGGCCTTGATTCAGGGCCAAATAATTTTTGTATTTTTAGGAGAGACGGGACTTTGCCATGTTGGCCAGGCTGGTCTCAAACTCCTGACCTCAGTTGATACACCCGCCTTGGCCTCCCAAAGTCCTAGGAATACAGGCATGAGCCACCGTGCCTGGCCAAAGTCATAACTGTGTTTAACCATAAATAGAGCTAAACAAATAATGCAGACCAACCTTCAGTCTTCACACCTGTTTTTACAGCAGGAGAGGGAAAGAAAGTATTAAGAGTAGGCAGGCCAGGCAACGACATTGGGAGGCGGCATGGGACCATTACTCCCACTAGTAAATGGTTCATTTAGCACACATTTACTGGGTACTTACTGTCTGTCCTCAACCCCTTTGAGGACAGACATTGCTTATGACCAGGGCTGGCCCCACACAGAGCCAGATGCACATGTACCCAAGAGGAGAAGAGCAGGTGACTTAGCCCAGATATCATCCTGGACCCTCCCAGGCTGCAATGGGGGCTTCTTCTCTGGGATTTCCCAGGCCCTCAA